AAATATATAACTTATAGAGAACCCAATATACATATATTCTATGCTTTACCTACAAATTATATATCCTAGATATCCAAGATTATGTAATTTCTCTCAATATATCATTTGCATTAAAAACGTATACTTTAATTTGCGTAATTTGCATTTCTGTAGACCCAGAGCCCTAGGATTTGCACTCCAGCCTCGGCTCTGCAGAGTTTATTGATTTATTTGTCTAAGCTGTGGATGCAACACATTAAGCGCTGACATATGTACGCAATATATGCTTGGGGCTGTAATATATGATTGGGCTTTCTGTATTGTGTGTCGCCATAGACTCCTCCTCCCCCAGCCCCGCTCTACTTTTGGGGCATATGTATTTTTATTAGAGCTATAATTGAAGTTTAACTGCGCATGTAATAAAGGCAATTTTAGCTATTTTCAACGCATTAGCGGCATAAATAATACAAGTCGAATGTGAATGTGAATGTGAATGTGCGACATAAAGACACGCTATATGGCTGGCCATTTCTCTCAGCAGCGAAAGTGGACGAAATGCGATATATAGGCAAAGGCGCAAAGCATTACCAATTGCTACGCAGTACAGTTACATATAAATATGTACATGTGTGTGTGTGTGTATGTGTATGTCTAGCATTTGCCACACCCATCAAGTAGCTGGTTGGCCATGTATTGCCCGCAGCTCGACGCCCACAAACAAACGATGGCGACTTATTCATTGCGCTTGCCATTAAGGTGGCTCTGATGCGGTTACTTTTGCCGCTCTGGCTGCTACGGCTGTGATATATAACACGCTCATAATTGGTCATAAATCTGACAAATGTAATTTGTCATCACTCAGGCTGCAGCCAGGCGAGCGTGGCGGCGGCGTGTGGGATGGGCCCAGAGTCCGACTTGGCCACGCTTTGCTGAGTGCCAAAATGAAAAAGGTGCTTGACACAAAATGTCAGCTGGATATTTTTTATTACACAATCACAACACACACACTCACGCACACGAGCACACACACAGACACCAGCACAGACACACAAACACCCAGAGCAATGCTTTTCTATGAGCGCCTAAAAGTATGCTCAAGCTCTTGAGTTCCACACACACAGACACAGAGAGAGTGAAAGAGAGAGATATATATACACACACACACAAGCTGCTTGGCTATAGCACCACACGTAAGCCACAAAGTAGTTACTTTTTATGCTTTTCGCTTTTGGCCATTGTTTTTGCAATAGCTTTGGTCACTTCAGCTCGTAAATATTTTACAAGTTCTCCATTGCGCCAGAGGGTTCTGTGTGCCGTCCGCCATTTGCCTTTCGCCCTCCCTCGCCCACTGCTTGTCGCCTAACTAACTAATTTTTGCTTTTATAGATGACGTACGACTTATTCGGGTGCAGGTTCAGCATCTACATTTCATTATAAATGACTTTCAAAATGGCCTAAACGTTCCAAATGAAGTGACTGCGTGTGGCTAGCCCAGCCGCACCCCCCTTTCCGCCCCTCCCACGACAATAGCCGCCCGTGCCCACCCGCATTCGATTTTAATGATGATGCCACTTGGGCGGCAATCAATAAACCGTTGCAAATTTATGGGAATTAGGCTGCCGCATAATGAGTAAATAAGACTGCTGCTGGGTAAGAAATATTTATGTACATATATACGTTAAATAGTCTATGTAGATATATGTATATATCCTAAGTCTATTGTCTCTGTGGAAGTAAAAGTTTGTATATACCAAATTTATATGCATAGTAATATGATAATATTTATGTGGGATTCTTTCGCCATATTATATTTCCCTAACCATAAATAGATGAATTATTTTTCCTTACACATACATAAATAGATCTCCTTTAATAGCCAGCCAAGTTCAATAGAAATTGTTGTCCCCAAATAATAACAATGCTTTGTGGTACGTCCTCTTCTTCAACAGAAAAATGTTATTTTTACTCACACAAACGCATATATGTCTTACTAATTATTGTGAGAACTGCAGAGAGAGAACCAAAGTTCTTCGATAAGATAAAGTCCATTAAAGGTCAAGGCATACAGGTGTAGCTAGCTCGCAAAAGTTGAAAGGTCAGAGACACTTGACCTTTGGCTCTTATGAAACTTTTCTCTTTTATGATTTATTTATTACACAGAAAAATTGAATTATGAAATGTACGCATTCCACAACTTGTTAGGAATTAAGCAGGTTATTCGGAAAAAATATTTTGTACATACCCTGTAATAATTAAAAATGGGAATACGGGGTATATTACCTCTGAGAACATTTATGTAACATGCAGTAGGAGGACACAGTAGTTCCCACTTCTGGCTTAGAATGACGAGCTAGGTCAATAGAGTCTATTCGTTGTTATGAACGAAGGAATCTCTTAAACTAAGAGAACTACAGAGTGGAAACTTTGAGTATATATTCTTTTGAATCAGTCACAGCGCAGACTTATTTTCTTTTTTCTTTTTTATTTATTCATTTTTTTTTTTTTTATACGTTTTGTTTTCTAGGTAACGAAAAGAACAAAGCATCATAAAATTATTCATAATATTGTTATATATAAGATTGATACTATTTATTACCTTTGTAGAAATACGATGAGTAATACACAAACAATATATTGAATTTTTACATTATGTTCAATTTTATTTATAATATATTTAACAATAATAATTATGCTATAATATTATTTGATAATACTCAAATTTATAATAAATTCGTCTGGAAAATACGAATTTAAATTGTCGCACTCGCCACACAAGGCTCAAGGGGATGCCTATTCAAAAGAAGAAGAAGCCAGACATGTAACATAAACTCAACTGAAAGGGAGGAGGTCCATTGCGTGCGAATGGTATTTAGCAGAAACAAATTTTGTTTTTATCAATGAAATAAAAGAAATGCGAAGGTGTAAAAGAAATGTAAAGCAAAGTTGAATTAAAATTTGAAACTGAGCAGCAGATCTGAGTCAGCAATACAAGCGTCATAGCGCTCTAGAACAATCCAATTCTTGATTATAGTTCGAGTGACTATGTTGCATGCTTTGCAAATTCAATAAAGAAATAATTAATAGCTTATGCTAAGGAAAAGTATGTACAAAAAAGCACCGCCAGCCCCATTAAAACAGTTTAAGTTACTGGATCAACAATGAAGCGACTATATACAAAGTATTTTTATATATATCAAGAGTACCAGCTCTATTACGTTTTATCTAGGTTAAAGATCAACAAAAGGCCTTAACAGACTTGCTCCAATGTCGAAAGATAAAGTACGCATTTGCAGCCTTTCATTTATTTATACATTACTCCGAGAACTTTCTTCGCTTTCTAAATCTCTTATTGAAGATTATGCAATTTGATCTTGAAATTTTAAATTGATGGCATAATCAATTTTACCCAAATGCGAGGGGCTACGTGCTAGATAGCAGAGCTCAGGCAGATGCAAAACAATCATTCCAGGCTTTTATTTAAGCAATTTTGTATTGATTGCCTGTAATGAACCCCAAACGCCTCGAGTTTGTTATTCTCTGTTGTTGTTTTCTTTTTCAAGGCGGCGCTGGCAATGCATTCTCATAGTAGTTGACTCGAGGCCTTTGCTACGTGCTTAGACATGCCCGGCAAATGGGTCAGCGCATTCGCATCTTCAGTCAGATCTATGGATCACGTTGTACGTGACCCTGCCTACTGTATATAGTATGCATATACATATATGTACATATGTATATATAGTATTGTACGTCAAGCAGAGATCGCGTATGCTGGAAATTTTTTTTATAAATTTAGTTAGCCGTGCGGGGCAAATGAAATTTGATGCGACACATTTGGCAAATTGGCTCTGAGATACATGGGGAATCAACACACATATACATATATGTATTTGTATATACATATTGATAAGTGTATGTATCTTTTGCTCCTGCTTTTTATGCTGCCTGGGCTCGAGAAAATCCGAGAATTTGAGTGCGACTCAATTGGTGGCAATTGAATTATTACACGACGACACTCATTCAATTTTCTCTGATATGGAGCAGGAGGCGGCTTGAGGCAGGACGGGTGCACACTATATACACGCTACACACACACACATACACACATACATGCACACACACATGGTTGTATTTCAGTCCCTCGCAGTGCTGTCAAATCCCAAATTGTGTGACACGTAAAATGGTCTGACATCTGACATGACTGCAGCTATTCACCTGATGCCCTACTCAGATTGTCAATTTTATTTACCAATTCGCAATCGATTCGAAACGGATCAAGTTCTTTGAAATGTGTATTGTTCATTGTATTTGTTTACTTAAATGATAGATTGCATTTATTATGTATTTTTTTCCTGGCAGTTTTATTAGGTTTCATCGCCTTGTATGCAAAGATTTAAAATCTAAAAAGTTCTTCTTATATCAAGTAATATATACCTATATAGAAGAATGTATTTTTACTATTTTATAGTCTCTACATTTTAATATATTATTCTTTTTATTTTTTGTCGTGTGATATTATTAAATATAATAATAATAATATATCATTGATGTACGTATTCTTTGTCTTCTACAATTTTTTCTCAATTACATATGTACGTATTTTCTTATGGTAGTACCGAAGTTAACGCTTAAGGGAACTGCTATTTTTGGGAATACAGCTACATGTATATCATATGATAGGAATATTTATATATAGATTTCTTGACTAACCCTTTAGCTTAACTCTATTAACCTACACTTTATATAATAAAATAAATCCCAGGACATAAATCTCTTACTACTTATTATAGATCAAAACATAAAGTTCTATAGCTCAAAGAAATTCTTTAAATAGAGCAAACACTGGTCGTAAAAAAGAAGAGTTTTAAGATTACAGAAATATCAAAAGAGCTAACATTTCAGCAGAAATACCCAGAAAGAAGTCCCGCCTATTTATATGCCCCACACGTGGCCGTGCAGCGCATCTGCCCACGCATTCGATGATTTGCCGTAGATATAGGCGCCTAGCTGCTGCCTTCATGCCTCCAGTTTGATTGTGCCTATTGCCAGGTGCAGTTGCGATTCTCCGAAAAGCATGAAACAGGCGTACTCTCTGCTCTGTGTGGTGCTCTTGACAGCCAGCCTGGCGGTGCCCAGTGCGGCACGTGGCGGCCGTGGACGCGGCGGTGGCTCATTCGGTGGCCTCTTTGGCGGCTGGCGCAGCAAGTACGGCAGCAAGTCGTCGTCGTCCGGCGGCGGACGTCGCGTGGTCAGCGGCTCGCCAGTGCACACGGCGATGACGGTGCCAAAGCTGCCGCCACCGCCACCGCCGCCGGTGTCGTCAAAGGTCAAACCACATGTGGCCAGCTATCCGCGTCAACAGCCGCCGCCACCGCCACCGCCGGGCTATGGCTATGCACCAGCTGCGGGCCAGGGCACGTACTATGCCAACGCCCAGGCACTGCCCGCCGGCGCCTTCTACTACGCCCAGCCGCCCACGTCCATGGGCATAGGTCCAGGTGAGTGGGGCTGCTCTGCAGCTCTTTAATGGCCGTCGCTAACGGCTCTGTCTGCCTTCAGGCACTGGTTTCCTGACTGGCCTACTGGCTGGCCGATTGATGGACAACGTGCTCTTCGGCCATCACCAGCATGTGTCGCATGTCTACCATCCGAATCAAGAGGGTCAAGCAGCTTCCGGCAATGGGCGTGAGATCATAATTATCAACAATGGGCAGCAACAGACCGAGGGCGAAACGCAGCAGCCGCCCAATGACTCGCTCAGCCCAGTGGACGCAGCAAATCCACTCGAGAATAAAGATGAGCAGCAGGAGGGAGAGCCCAGTGAGGCAGTTACTTCCACGGCAATGCCCGTGGCTCCCGCTGGCGGCATCATCTGCTTTCCCATCATGATAAATGAAACGGATCCACAGAATCCGGAGCTGGTGAATGAGGTGCAGCGCGTGGTCTGCTTTCCAGCGCCGACCGCAGATCCACAATCCGCAGACTGTCAAAATGATCCCATCTGCGTGCTGCAGCATGGCGGCAGCACCACCAGCACAGTGCCACCGATTGTTGCAGGCGATATTGGTGGTGCAGCCGAAGCCAGTGATTCCCTGGAATTATCCACTCCCGCGGCGGCTGACGATGCTCCACAAGATTAGTCATTAAATTAGGCTTTAAGCAAAACTAAAAATAAATTTGCAATCAATTGCGGATTAAGTTAGGGGATCTTCTTGTTGTCTTCGAATTTAGTTTTAGAGAAATATAATCATTTAAATTAAATTATAATATTTCAATTGGCCATGGTACCAAATAAATACTGAGTATTTAATTCATAAACACTTTGCAAAGCAGCTGAGCTTTCATTAACTGGCAAAAGCTTACTTGCGAAAGCGCGGTCAAGCTTTAAAAGCTATAAAATCATAGCTTCAAAGTAGTTCGCGCGGCAGCGTTACAAATGATGACAGTTGTTCCTGCAGGCACGCCAACAAAAACAACAACAACAACAACAAGAGCAAAACCAGCAGCCACAACATCAACAATAACAGCAACAACAGCAAGGCCGCAAACAATTGTAATGCTAGCAAAAACAACAAAAGCGAAGGCGCAGCGCGCAAAACCAGAAAGACAAACACTGCGACGTCAGCCATGGCAGCGACGTCGGCAGCGACGCGTCAGCTACGACAGACGTTGCGTCGACCGCAGTCATAAACTGTTCAGCACGACCACCAATACAAAAGCAATTACATCCTAAACGTGTGTGTGTGTGTGCGTGAGTGTGTTTGTGTTTGTGGATGTGGGTGATGATCCAAGAACACGAATAAAGCTCACTTGCGTTCATTAATCCCGCAATAACAAGGGGGAACTGTAATAAACAAAGTTACGTCGCGCACACTGAGCATCAGCGGCTGGACGCAACTGTGCTAATCATTCACATTTTTAAAACTCGGCAAATTTTTATTCAATTGGATAAAAATTTTAAAAATATATGCATACATATATTAATAAGAATTCAAATAATAATTTTAATTTTAAAATAATTTGAATAGAAATATGTTAGTTTATGTTACACCCAAATTTATATATTTTATATTATTTAAAAAAAATTTTTATATATGTTCCACTCAGCTTAATATTTAATTTTCAAAATAAAAATAAATCACTTTGATTAGTACACACATACATACGTAAATGCATGCAGTCTTGCGTGTGTATTTAGCATTTAAGATTCTTATCAATCAAGCTTAATCACGCGCAACTAAAATATATATATATATTTGTATACATACGTATAAACGTATGTATGTGACTACGTAAGGGTCGTTAACTAAAATGCGTGAATGATATCATGGCACAGCGAATGCAATAGCAGCAGAGCTGTCTGACACCTCTTTAACGCGCCTCTCTCTCTCCTTCTCTGTCTCACTCGCTCCTAAACACTTAAATTAAATAAAAACGGTAAAACTAAACAACTACCATGGGACATAAAATTCACATACACACACACACACACGCAATCAAAATATTCGCGAGAGAGATACTGAGAGAGAGAGAGAGAGCGGGAGTGAGAGCAATCAGTGATGACAAATACAGCAAACGAAATAAAAATAACAAAAACAACAGCTATAGCAGCAGAGGCAACAGCTGAGGCAGCAACAGCCGCATCGACAACAACAACAAACAAACGAAAGCCCACCAACAAGTTGCGGCCGCTGCCGCTGTCGCCGCCGCTGCCGCTGCCATGCGACGCTCGCGGTCCGCGGCGAACTGAACAACAAAACACACGTCAAATAAAAAATGCTCAACCGCATTTCAGTTGTTTGAGAAACTTTGCACGGAACTAAGCTCGAGCGCGTCAACCAAACAAAAGAATTAAACAAATATTAAATCAAGTAAATACATGGCATTTTAATAATACGTATAGATATAAGTAAACTGCTGCAAGAACATAAATATAAATACACAAGTAAATAAGTTGTGCACTTGTTGCGTGGAATTGTGCTGAAACCAGTTTTGTGAAATGAACTGATGTATATATGTATATTTATATACATATGTATATATGTACAATTGTGCATATGTGTATAAAATTATGTGTATACTCTTCAGCAAGTGCATCGGATAACTAGAGTTTTTTATTTTTTACGTTGCGTTCCAATAAACAAAATGAAAATTCAAGGTCGACAATGCGAAATTTATGCAAAATTGAATTGATATACATATGTATGTATGTATATATGTTTGTATGTATATGAGTAATGCTTATTAGGACTTGGCAGTGCGGACAAAGCAAAAGCCCAAGCAAACCAATTAAGCAAAAAAGAAAACACAAAACAAAACACAAATGCAAAAACAAATCAATTTAAGCTTTTTGTCAGTTTACATATATTTATGTATATACATACATACATACAGACATACATACATAACTCAACAATGAGTTAACTGTATGCTTTAAAATAATTGCCTAAGCATTATTTTATATAGAAATACTTTGAAAACACTTCAATTTTCGCAAGTGTTGAGTTCTTATCATTCATCATTTCCTTATCATTTTAGATAGTATTTATCTAAGATAGTACCTTCTAGCTGTAAAAACAAAGTATAGTGTGACACTATTTTTTAAGCATTCACAAAGCCTTTTGTTCATTTTGATTATTCCAAATAGCTTTACAAGCTTTGAGAGATCTGCATAAGATATTCTTCTAGAAGAATTCGCTTACAAAGCTTTTGCTACATAGCTTATAGCGGTAAATGATAAATTTCCAGCTTTGACATATATTAATATTCTTAATCCGACTTTTGATATATTAGCACCTTTCAAGAGAGTTTCTAAAATAGATTTTATAATGTAGACCAAATATTTTCCCTCTTTTTTTCCATTGATGCAGTAATTCGAATAAAAACGTCAACAGCTGAAACCAAAATATTTCTCATTTATTTATTTATGGCAATATTTTCGTGCACTCAAATGTTTGTTTGATCCGTTTCGTGCATTCAACAGGTATGTCTAAATTTAGACAGTTCGTATTTAGACATATTTACAAGGGGGAATTTCAGCGAAACGATCTACCTAATGGATTTATACCAACTTTTGAGAGATTTTAGATCTTTTTTGACAAATACAAATGAGCGGTTTAAGTGGTAAAAGAGGTACATATATAAACTGAATGAGTCTTGACATATTAATATATATATATATGTATATTTTATGTAGGCTGATGTATATATGTTTACCCTTGTATTCTTAATAGTAACAGCTGCTTCTAATTTAATTCGAAATGTACAGTCATGCATACCCGTTCCATATGCTGACAACAGCTGACTAAACAAACTGAGCCATGAGCGCAAAGAAAAAATAAAAACAGTTTCTTTTGCTTCACCCGCGCATTACGAACCGGTTAGTAATCCACTTTTGGCAGTCCAATTAATTTTACTTCTCTTTTTTAACGTTTTTTTTTTTATATATATAAATATATTTATAGTTGCTTTTGATTCGCTGATTTGGCCACATTTAAAGTTTGTATAACATTTGATTTTCTCCCGAAATTTAGACAATCTTACGTAACACTGCAATTTCCCCAGCTCCACAAAAGCTTTGAAAAATATTTGAAAATCAATGGAGACTATATGAAAAGAAAAGTAAATAAAAACTTTTAATTCATATAAATTTATTAGTAACTGAAATCTTTTGGTTCATAATATTTACGATTAGCGCAGACCCATTGAAATAAATTAAATAAAGCCATGCTTGACCTTTTGAAATCCCAACAGTGATAAGCCCAGAAATTTTCGCTATGTTCTATAGAAAATATATAGATAATATAATAATATATACCTACTTAGCGATAAGATTGTAGAATTCCAAGAACTTTATATTTCAAATACGTAAAAGTGGAAAAGACAATTGCGAGATTTTTCGATTGCATCCGCTGACATCACAAAACAGCTTTCTGGTTCCATATCTCGCTCTGGATGAGTCATAATAATAATACACTTTATAAACACTGCTATAAACAAATGCACTTTATTATAAACAATTGCCTATTGTGGCTGGGGTACAGACTGCAAAAAAGATTTTTGCTTACATATTGGAAATGTGTATATACAGAGTATAGATGTAGTATAGATTACAATAGCAATGGTGCATTGTATATATGGTATATCAGTTGAATATATAAATATATAGATTTTGACACAACCGCAAAGGTTCAGCTTGCTACAGATTTATTTACTTTTATTTTTCAATTTTGTGGAATACTAGACCATGACAAATCAGTGAAACTCATGAACCAGGATTATATATACATACATATATGTATATGTATATGGATCATACAAGAACTCATTTGTTATAAGTTCCTTTGTTTGATTTTACTATTTTCTATAATACGACGTTACAAAAATAGGCCGTATTCCATACATATATATTTTCAATATATGTATGTATAATTACATAGCTGATCTGTAATACACATAACCCGAATTGATATAATTGATTATCGCAGAGATCATAAAGCCAAAGAATGCTACGCTATTCAGAGCTTTCATCAAGCAATTAGATTTCAATCAATTTAGATTTTTTTTATAAGTTGGAACTTTTTTCGACGCTTTCAATTAAGATAGTAAATTTTGTCTATATATAAAGTTCGATTAATTGGAATTTATGAGAACTTAATATTTTAATTTCAAATTAACTTAACTGGAATATCTCTTCTAATTGTATTAGCCAATCGAATATTTTACGAAGCATAAACAGATTTAGAGCACGATCAAAATAGGCAATCCATAAATTGCCCACCTTATGAGATTTCAGCCATATTTAGCTCAGCTCAAGGCTGAAAACCTGAGCTCGTGTAACGTCTTTAAATGCTAGGGCGTGTGAGGCCTGTGAGGTAATTAGCGGAAAACCCGAGCACTCTGACCCAATATGGATTTCAATTGTGTATAACGCTTATAAGTCTGCCAGCTAATGCTTGACCTAAGACCTATGGAGTATGCCTGAAGGTGAGCAAAGCCAATGGAGTGTGGCCACGCGACAAGCCAAGCAAATCGCCAAGTTCGTCAATTATTGTCATGGATAACGCGCCCCGAAATTGGGGCAGACGCCCAGGGCGTCACATTGCGTCAGCGTCAAATAATGGGCTGTGCCCTCCCCCCAAAACAGTGACGCAAATACCACTAGGAATATATGCTAGAATATATATATTTTTATATATATAGCATAGTATATGTATGTAGAACAATCAACTCTTAGCTCTAATAATAATACCCCAATGTGAACTAAGCGTGAATTTATAATCGAGTGGCAAATGTCAGAGGTATTGGATCGTAGTACAGCCACTATTATGCCCACTGGGCAACTAGAGGGACTATCACAAGCGCAAATTGAATCAATTGTTTATGCAAACAGCAAATTAAAGCGCACGGGGACAAATGAAGACTGACACCGGGGGGAAATCGCGATGCGCAAAAGTTATTTTTATTTGTATATATATATTTTTGTAATATAGATGTAAATAGTGATGGGTAGGCAAACGAGTTAACACTCGATGAGTAATCATCGATTGAATGTTGAATAGATTAATGCAATTAGACTTGGGAATATCACTAACCAGGGAACTCAGGATCTACTAGACAGATTTGTTCTACATATCTGGTCTATGTGTGCTCTGGTTAGTGGGAATATGCCTACAATTAAATAGTAAAATATTTAGCCGTGCTCAAATATGACTAAATAATAACTTGATAGACATATTTAAGAGATTTTCAAGTGACATAAATTTCGATTTATCGATAACATATGTATGATAACATATGATCCTTGAATTCGTCCGCGTTCACCAAAACATACTTTAAACCATTATTAATATTTTTAACAAGTTAATTTGAATATTAACATAAAATTATTGAACTATTCATCGATTCATCGGCATTAACATATATGTATGTATATATCTAAAAAAAAAGAACACATACACACATACATACATATGTATGTTATATTTTTGCCATCCCTAGATTCCTAATCGTACATCTCTGCGCACAGGCAAATCTGTGCAGTTCTAGTGGGATTTTTTTGTATTATATGTATGTGCATATTTTACTCTCGTTCCTCGGTCGGACTAGAATCAGTGGATAATCAGGGAAAACTATTTAAGCGTTCCAGGCAGGCAACTGCCGCTTAGTCAAAGTCAAGCGGCCAAGCAGCAAATAGAGATTGTTTTACAAGCGAGACTTCTCACTCTCTCTCTCTCTCTTTCTCTCTCTCTGTCGTTCTCTCAGCATGTCGCAGAATCATCCCTGGCGACTTAGCAGTTGGACTCTGCTATTGGGTCTGCTGATCCTGTTGCTGGTCAGTCCAGATGCCCAGGCGAAGCGCTGGTTCGGCGGCAGCAGCAGCAAGAGTCGCTCCTCCAGCTCCAGCAGCTACTCGGCCCGTCGGCCCTCCTCGTCGTCCTCCTCATCGCACTCCGGCTCGTACAGTCATGCGGATAACACGAAGCTCAGCTACGGCCCTGGCAGCCATGCAGCGCCCAGCCACACGCAACATTCGATGTCACGACCCGCGACGGCCTCGCCCATAGGCTGGAATGTGCCGCCCAAGGCGCAGGGCCCGCCGCCCTCCTATACGGCCCACAATCCGGCTGGCGGTGCTCACACCAACATACATGAGCCGCCGCCGGCTTACAACCCGTCGTACAAGGCCAATGCCCCGCCGCCAAGCTACTCGGCGGCCAACAGCAATGCGCGACCCGCAGGAGGCAGCTCCGGCAGCAGCAATCCCCACTACACGCCCGCCAGCGTCTACAGGCCACGCATGAACGCCACTGGCGGTGGCGGTGGCTTCCACACCCCCATCACGGCCACCAATACGCACGGCGTGCAGTCGAGCTATCCGGGCGCCACGTACCACAGTCCTGGACATTTGCCCGCCGGTGCCACTTACCATCCGTCTGGACAGCTGCCCGCTGGAGCAACCTATCACAGTCCTGGCGCGCTGCCCGCCGGAGCTACCTATCACAGCTCATTGCCGGCTGGAGCCACCTATCACCACAGTCCTGGAGCGCTGCCCGCTGGAGCCACCTATCACAGTCCTGGAGCGCTGCCCGCTGGAGCCACCTATCACAGTCCCGGAGCGCTGCCCGCTGGAGCCACCTATCATCCCGGAGGCTATGCACCGCCTGGCGCCAGTTTTCATCCGGCTGGACAGATGCCACCTGGCGCCACCTATTATCCCCAGGCGCCGGTGGCAGCAGTGCCTGCCGGTGCTACCTTCTTGCCAGCAGGAGCTGGACTGCCGCCCGGCGCCACCTACTATCCGCAGGCGCCCAAGTCGTCATCTGGTTTGGGTCTGGGTAAGTGCTACTCTATGTGATTCAGCTTGAATTTGCCTAACATCTACCTCACTCTTTCTCTCCCTCTCTCTTTCACTCTGTGTGCAGGCACTGGTCTCATTGCTGGCGCTTTGGGTGGTGCCATTTTGGGCCACGCCCTCACGCCCACGCAGACGCGCGTCGTTGAGCATGCGCCCATGCCGAGCGGCGGAGCTGGCGGCTCTGGCGGCGGCGACGACAAGATCATCATCATTAACAATGGACCACCTGGCTCGGTGACCACTACGGATGCTGGCTCCGGCACCACAGTCATCAACACGGGCGCCGCACAGCCCGCCGTGGCACCAGCAGCCGCACCTCAACCCGCTGCAGGTGTTCCAGCAGCGGCTCCCGCAGCTGTGCCAGGCCAAACTCCACTCGCTCCGCTGACACCGCCCGCTGCTGAAGCCGCCGTGCCACCAGCTGCAGGCGCAGCAGTTGCTAATGCTGCAGCTCCGGTTGCTCCTGCTGCTCCTGGTGTACCCGCTGCTCCAGCTGCAGCTCCAGCGGATCCGAATGCTGCACCACCCGCACCCGGCGGCATCATCTGTGTGCCTGTGCGTGTGCCCGAGCCCGACCCGAACGATGCCACCAAGACGATTGAAGTGGAGAAGATTGCGTGCTATCCGGCACCACCACCAGAGGCAGCAGCACCTGCAGCAGCAGCGAATGGAACAGCTGCCGCTGCTGCACCCGCTACTGCTGCACCTGCTGCTGCTGCTGCCGCTGCTGTGCCCGCCTCGACGCCCGCATCGGATGCGGCGCAGCTTGCGCCCTTCCAGTCGACCACGCCCCTGACCGTGCCGGAGGGATCGGTGCCACTGGCGCCGCTGTCGCCCGGCGGCCAGCCGGATGTGATGCGCATGCCCGGCATGACGTCTGCGCGTCTATCCGCCGAATCGGGACTCCATGATGCGCGCAATGGAGAGAAGCGAATGTCCGAATTGAGTACGCTCTCCGCCCTGCTGACAGTGCTCGTGGCCTACTGTCTGCACTAAGCAGCCAGCAGCCAGCAGCCAGCGGCCAGTGGGCCAGAACGGGTATTTAAAGCCAAATGGTAGCCAGTCAGCAGAGCGGAATCTGCACTTGAACAAGTTTCATACAAAGTCGCTGAATTGATATTTTCCATATTTTGTAAAGTAAGCGAATTTCTGGATATTCATTTATGCATATTTGTACTCATATTTTCTCTATTAGATTTACATAAAATTAAATAAACCGTAATTAATAATTAATCAATTAAAAATTAATCAATTAAATATTTCCATATATCATTTATTGATCATTTTAGCTATTAGCAAATTTTGTGTACTTATGTCTTAGCGGTAGCCATCTACCGTAGGCTATACACAGTTTAAAGCAAAGCCATCTGTCGGCTGAAATTTTAACATAAAAGCATATTCGTTAAGTTTCTTATTGTATTGGCGATAACAACTTTAGTTTGTGCAACAACCTTTCTGAGCTAACTTCACGAGTGTATAGCTGAATATCTTATATATAGCCAATACACAAACCATAACTCCCATACTTTGTGTACAAGCTTAACGATATTATTTGGACATAGTTCGCATCAATAGTCTGTACACGAACCATTTCTCTTATTTGATTGCTGCGTTACATTCACGTAGTTCTTATTAGACTTATTAGATAATTTTATTATATAAATAATTCATTTGAGTAAATCGAAGTTGTTAAGGGCAATTAGAAATATATATTTACACTTTTAACAGCAGGCTAATCTCTCTCACACTCCCTAGCTTTTATCTATTTTCCCACTACATTTTCTGTTATTTCTTCTGCTCCATAGATATTAACGATATTTAAATGTTGTTTACAAAAAAGTTCTATTTGTGCCTTCGCCCATGCCGATAATGTACAATCAATAGCAGAACAGTCTTCCAACACTTTCCTTTATAAACGCCAAGTGTGGGCGTGAGAAGAGTTTTCCTTTGGCAGCAAAACAAGCTTGATTGAAATATTAAATTAATTTAGGTGAAAATGCAGTATAGAAATTTTTATATTTTGATTAAAAATGTGAACGATTTGAAATATTTCTAAAAGAAAAAAATTGTATTTCATAATATTACATATAAATAAATATATATTTAGAATATAAATCGAAAAAGTAGAGAAAACGCAAAAACTTGTTTAAGTTTGTATAAAAGTGTAAAAAATTTAACAAATATTTTTAAAATTGACAAACTTTTATAAGTAAAAATATTTTTCAAGACCTTTTAATTGATTTCTGTGCATTCCATTGATATCTACTCTTATATTTTCATCTGAAATCAACATTAGCTGTCGGCTGTCCCATCAGCAGCTGTACCCATGCAGCTCTTGCGTATCTATCAAATACCACAAAGTAAACAAAGACAACAAAGCCCTGAACTGTCGCCAACAGGCAGAAGAGAAACTTTAGCGAAAAGCCCAAGTTGAAGTAGGCACAGAGGCCGAAGATCCAGGTCAGGCCGAGCAGAAAGAAGAGCAGCAGAAAGAGCCGGAATTGCTGCCAGATCAGTTGGCCGTTGCGATGCCGCAGCCGAGATACCCGAAAGAGGATGCAGCCGAAGGTGAAGACATTGGCGCCCAGCACCAGGCCAATGGGCAGCAGGATGCCGTAGATCAGACCCGCACCGGCCGGATAGCAGACCGATGCGAATTCCCCGGACAGGACGGGCGAATACGCCTCGGGATCGACGAGTAGCAATGCGAGAGTGGGCAGCAATGGCATCGTCCACGCAATCGCAGCCAGGCGCCCCACAATGTTCTCCGTGGGAGCGACGAGCACTGTGACGTGCTTGCGGTACTGCAGGTGGCCGACGAGCAGCATCCAGCTGAAGAGGAACAGTACGGCGTACTGGAACACGGCGCCCAGGGCAATGCAAGCCCAAGAGCCCCGATCGAAGGAGTAGCGAATGGCCCACTCATTCACGTACAGCAGCAGCATGAGCAGGAAGAGCAGAGTCAGGGCCACGCACATGTTGAGCAGCAGCTTGGTGGACTGCAGCGAACGCCATCTCTTCGAGATGGCCGCCGTCAGCCAGATCATCAGCAAGCCGAACAGCGACAGGCTGCAGCCGACGGCTGTTGTCGTATCCAGCAGGCATTCCAGGCGATCCAGCCCGTACCTACAGTTCCGGTGCTTGTTGCTGGCACCCACCAGGAAGGCAAACTGCGTCAAGTGATGCGTGAAGCAAGCTACGATCGGACTGCTGGACAAATTCATTGTGTCGGTAGTTATGCCTTGCTGCGTCCAGTTGCCGTAGTTCCAGTAGGCGCAGTAGCCATCGAATCGTTTCCTCTTCCTAAATGCCTCATCAAAGTCCTCGTTGCGCAGCAGAAAAGCCAAGGGATAAGGCAAGTGTGCTAGAATGAACGGAGATGCCAGAGTTGGATTTAATTTAGGAACTAACTTTAGTTAGGGCATCTTAAATGTTGGATAAGTAAACATAGATTTACTACTAGTGAATAGTTTTACGAATAGTGAAGAGAATTTTGGCTTATGTTATTTTTGTTGTCTTCTGTCATCTATGCTATCTGGCTATACATCTCCAGTATCTTTCCATTCATCCATCCGTCAGCTATCCATGCGCCGTTTGTCTACTTTTCGGTTCTTCTCTCCGATCGTCCGTTCGTGCTCTATTTGCGTTTACCTCTAATCTCCAGTCCGTCCATCCGTCCGTCTGTTCGTCTGATCGTTCCTTCATCTGTTCCCTCATCTGTGCTTTCCTCTGATCTCCCGCTCGTACGTGCGCCTTCTATCCATCCGTACAACAAGTCGTTTATCTGATCTTATATCAGTTCACCCGACCATTCGTCCGTCTATTATCCCTAACTGTCCTCGTCCGTCCATTGGCTTACCAGTCTTTTATGTGCTCTCCCTTCGCCTGTCCGTTTGTTCTTGTAATAAAGCGCACAATGTTCGATATTTAATCATATATATACTCACGGGAAACTTGAGGTATATTAATAGAGAGCACATGACTCGCTGGCTTTGCGCCTGTGTTGCTCGCTGATAGATCCACAAAGAGGGCATTATTCGCATAGATCTTGAAAACCATATAGGTAGCTCCGGCAACTTGGAGAGCTTCCCACAGCTCTCTAGTTAAGTAGCTGGCCGTTAGGAGATCGGGCTCCTCTCTGAGCGCGTTCAGACTCTGATTGGAATAGAGAAAACGATACCAGAAGCCATGATGTGGACAACCCTCACGTCCCGGACCTGGCTTCGTGTAAATGGCAATGCCCGTGAATGCATTGCACTCGGGAAACAGATAGAACACACTCAGCACTTTGCCAATCAGGGCCTGGACACCATTGTGCATCTTGACATCGACCAGCTCCTGCGTCGGATCGACTGCGATGGGCTCGTTGCAGCTCTTCAGCTGCGGCGCCAGGCCATTCGTGTAGTCCTCGAACTTATAGAGCAGATCGTTGGTGGCGTTCAGCCGAGCGGAGAGCTCCAGCACGGAACTATTCGCGCCCATGAGATCACTGTAGACACGAATCATTTGGATGCAGGCAGCCATATCCTTCGGCTCGTTCACCACTCGATCGATTATTTTGTTGATAGACAAGACATCGACAGGCTCAATTTTGGCATCCATCTGAGCGATCAGATCGCTGACGTTTCTCATAACAGCTAGCGGATAGTCGATGAAGGAGGAACGCTCCGATATGCCCATGCTCAGCTCGTACTGCAATTCGCTTAGGCTCTGGCTCTCCACGGCCATTCCCTGGCTCGGCCGGCAGCCGATGTTCCTGTCCAACTGCGCCCACTGCTGATTCGCAAGGCATTTTCGCACCAAAGGCAGGCCATCGCTCTGCACGCACAGCTCCCTCGTCAGGGCAAACTCATTGATCGGCGTTAGGGGAAAGGAATAGCTGTAGTTCTTCCGACTGTTGCTGCCATTCTCGTTCTGGCTCTCATAGTAATCGATAATTTCGATGGGTGGACAGTAAGATAACGCTGCGATGCCCGCGACGAGGCTGAAAGCGAACAAAACGAAGCGATGCGAATACATCTTGAGCTGCCAGCGATCGATGCAAACTGAGCCCACGAAACGAGAACCACAGCCACTGCACAGCCGCAATTCAACTGAATTTAGTATGTGAAACCAAAGTCATATTTGTGATTAATACTAAATGAATATATATTTAGAGCTATGAGTTGACTTTATACATATATTGAAGAAATCCATAATTCTGTTTTAACGCAGACAAATCTATAATAATAATCTATTAAAGATTTCTATTAAAAATTTAAATGGATGATATCTAAAATGTGTTTATCTAGATTGTATTTATAGAGATTGTTTTAGAATATTTATTCATTTTGTATACAAGGTATTTATATGAAAACTCAGGGTATTGCAGAGTCTGTCATTTCATTATTTAATATTTGATTGTTGGAAAAACTTAAACATTAATCATAGAATTGGAATCAAATATTTAAATAAATCATCTTTTGCACTTTATAATGCCAAAGAAGCTTTGGGAAGTCTGCAATACGAACTATGTATGTAACTAACATCCGAAATGGAAAACTTAGCAAATTATCGCTGCTATTGATCATATAGATATTCAATACATAAATACAAAAACAGAACTTCTAAAAAAAAATCAAACAAGCAAAAAAACACAGCTCTTAGTAAAATTTTGTCTGCTCAGAAACCAACTGAGAGAAGCTTAAGAACTTATTCAAAATCCATTTTATGTTTGTTTTCTTCAGCGGCTTAAGTTTTCTCTTGTGATACTATCTACACATACACACACACAGACATCTATAGCTAGCTGTACTTGTAATGGCATCTGTCTACATATTCTCTAGATTTTTTTTTTTGCTTGCTAACTAAACCCACACGACTTAGACTTAAAACTTTGTGACAACATCAGCTAGGCAAAAGATGGGCAAAAATAAGAGGAAGAAGAATGTCAAGAATTTACTCAGTCAAAAAAGCGTCAATAAAACGCAGTTACTCCTAATGGAAAATCTGAGCAGAAGTTTTTAGCTAAACTTTTTGCTACTTTTCCATGCACTTGCAATGCTAACGACGTTGAATTCGAACTTTTTGGGCTCTGGACACAGATTTGCAAGTTTATGAAATAAATACTAAAAAAAGGAAGAAGAAATAAATAAAGGGATTTAGATTTTTGAATGACAATTTGACTTGTTTTGCGGGCGCTTGAAGTATTTACAGTTATAATTTAAATCCAAGTTGATTGTGATTGAATTGAGTTTTTTTTTATTAAGTTAAAAATGTATTTATATGAATTTCATATTCTTTATGAATATATGTATTTATACAAATAAATATTTTCATAAATTTATAAACGTATTTTATATAAATATATTTTATAATTATATAAATTATATAAATACAAAAAATGAAATATTTACATATGTGCATTTATTAAAATAAAAAATAAATATATACAAAAGTAATTAAATTAAAATATTAATTTAAATATATATTTATATTTCAACAAAAATATATAGAAAAACAGAAAATAATATAAATATATTTCTTATTTATTTTTTATTATATTTAAAAATATTTGTATTTATTTGAATCTATCAAAAACATATTTTTGTTTGTTAATTAAAATAAAATAAATATGTATATCTTTTATATATTTAATATTTACTCAAATAACATTTTTAAACATTATTCCCCATATATATGTATTCTCTATTCCATAGACCTTCGCTTGTTAGTCCAATAACAAGGTTCGGCCGTAACTTTATCAGCCATTCACATAAATCCATAAATGTTCCCTGCTATATTGTATATTGATGGGAAACTGAGTGTATTGCAACTACTATTCCCGCAGGTAATACGCATGCATGCATAATATTTCAAGCAATCATAGCAGAGGGGGCAAAACTCAGTAGCAAGCGGCGTATAAGTAATTGGCAACAATTGGCTGCCAAAAGTTGACTTGTCGAAGCCATCAAATGGCAACAGCATGAAATAGTCGCAATTCATAAAAATAAATAATAAATATATGTATGTACATATATGTATGTGTATATATGATATGGGCAATAGAGCAGCAGCTGGCTATGAGCGCTGTTTGATGGAACTGTTAAAGATTTTATGCAGCTGAAGCCAGAGATAACGCAGTGAATCAAATAAATTAATCGGATCAAAAAAGTGGAATAAGTATATATGTATATGAATAAATGTATATATGAATAAGTAGAAAGATTATGTGATAGACAAATACACATACCCCAATTCAAAGATAAACAGAGAGAAATGGATGATTTCGAGGTCAGATGAGTTTTATAGCATAAAAATAACAATAGAAAATATAATTAAAACAAGTAAGAAAGCTCTAGTCGAGACTGCTCGACTACGAGATCCCCTGAACCCTACAAGGAACTGATATTTCAATAATAATTAGCACACACACGCACACACACACACACACACACACGCATACAAACAACACACACGCACACACATACACATACAAACAAACACACGCACACACACACGCATATA